TGCAGTGGCAGGAACATATAAAAACACCACTGAACATAATAACTGGACTTGGGATACTGAGACAAAGTTAACTCTAACTGAAGTTTCAGGAACTGGAACCTGTATCGGGAACCCTTCTGGCAATCTCCGCTCATTATGTAATACCACTACCCAAGTGCCCCCCTCCAAGGGATACTTAGTTCCCAATACCGGGTATTGGTGGGCCTGCAATACTGGATTAACCCCGTGTGTCTCTTTAGCTGTTTTTAACTCTAACTTTGATTACTGTGTATTAATTTATCTGATGCCCTGAATATATTATCACCCTGATGATGAATTTGTTAAAGAATTTGATCATGCATCTGAGCGCCGTTTTCGCAGAGAACCTATTACTATGACCCTAGCAGTCTTATTAGGAGTAGGAGGAATAGCTGCAGGAATAGGTACAGGGACTTCAGCACTTGTCTATGGGCAACAACAATACCATGAGTTAAAAACAGCCATAGACGAGAATCTTCGGGCTTTAGAGTCATCAATTACTCAGCTAAAAGAATCCCTGACCTCCTTATCTGAGGTAACCTTACAGAATAGAAGAGGGCTGGATTTATTATTCCTCAAAGTCGGGGGTCTCTGTGCCGCACTAAAAGAAGAATGTTGCTTTTATATTGACCATTCAGGAGTAATAGAAGACTCCATGCAAAAGCTAAGAGAAAGGTTAGACAAAAGAAAACGAGACTGAGAATCTCCGCAAACATGGTTCGAGAGCTTATTTTATAAATCCCCATGGTTAACTACTCTTTTATCTACCCTTATAGGTCCTTTGATACTCTTGTTTATATTGTTATTAGTTGGGCCTTGTATTATAAATAAGCTTGTTACCTTTGTTAAAGATTGCATCAGTACTGTTCAATTAATGGTTCTAAGACAACAATATCAAAATATGAGAGAATCTGACTACAATGATACTGCCTCCAGGGATTCTTGGTTCTATGATTAGAACCTTGTACTAAAAGAAGTGGGGAATGAAAGGAAAATTTTTAAAATAATGTCCCCACACCCACGTATTGTAAGAACCTATACCTTTGATCTTGTGTAAACGTTTATGTTCCAGGAACTAGCTGACCACGACTGACCACAAGCTGAACAAGCAATTACTGGCAAAAACCATATCTTAACATCAGCAGCAGGTGGCTGACCTAGAACTGAACTTCTGCTTTTCCGAAGAACCAATGAGCAAACTCCACGCCAAGGAACCCCTAGCCCCTCTATAAAAATCCCTTGCTTTTTTGGCTCAGGGTCGACTTCCCTGTCTCCTCCGCCAATAAAGCCTCTTGTGATTGCAGCGAATGGATCTGGTGTGAGTTGCTCGGGGTCATTCCCGATCTGGGAAAAGCCCTAGTTTGGGGTCTTTCAAAAGGAGGGAGTAGCAGAGGACTGTCTCTTTGACTATGGATCACAACAAATGCTAACTCTGAGAAGAATGGGAATCCCAGAACATGTCCAAATGTTACTTACTGAAATTTTTTAGTGTCAATCAATTCTTTTTGGTACAGTGATTCTGTGTGTTCTCCCCATCTTCTTTTGATGCTTCCTGGATCATTCAAGGTTATGTTTACAGCATTTCTCAGTATTGCAACAAAAGGCTGAAATTCATTTCCAAGTTCTCTCAATGACTGAGTTCTTCCCTTTTTAGTTCTCTGACTCCAGCTCTTTGTATATTTCGTTATAATGTTTTGCTTTGTCTTCTCAAGCTGCCCCTTGAAATCTTTTGTTTAGTTCTTTGACTTCAGCATCTCATTCTTTTGTTTTGGTTTACCATCAATTTTTTTTTTTCAGGCCAGTACCAGACAATATGGATTGCTATCCATCGTGTTTTGCTTTGGGTAATTTTCAGAAGCAGACTGCCAGATTCTTTTCTCTTAGTCTGCCTTAGTCTGAAACCTGTCCATGTAAATGACCCTGTTAATATCTGAAGTACTAGTGCTCCATCTTCCAAAATTATAGCATCATGTAAACCACACCACAATACAACAAACTGTAGTTACAAGGCAACTTATAAGATTGGGAAGTACATAAGATAAGTTAAAATGGTCTCAAAGATATCCCTATCCTAAATCCTAAAATCTGTGAATATGTTATTTTTCAAGACCTTTGAAAATACAGTTGGAATTGTAAATCTTAGAATTGAGAGATTATGCAGATGGGTCCAACCTAATTGCTTTCGCCTTTCCAGTGGTGACCTCAGCATGCCAACATGCCTCTTGCAAAGGATCTCCTTCATCCCTCTCCAGAAAAAGAGAAGAGGACACACAAGTAGAAGCGCCTGGTGCTGAATCCGGATTCCTATTTCATGTATGTGAAATGTCCAGAATGCTATAAAATCACCAGTCTTCAGCCATGCACAAACAGCAGTTTTGTGTGTTGGCTGTTCCACTGTTCTCTGTCAGCCTATAAGAGGAAAAAGCAAGGCTTATAGAAGGAAGCTCCTTCAGACCTTAGCAGCATTAAGAAAAAGGAAAAAAAACAAAAACCAAACCACAAAAAACCTAACAAGCACGATGAATGGAAATTATCTCAATAAACAGAATTTTAGATATTTTAAAAAAACAAACCAAAAACGAAAGCCACCCAACCTAGAAAACGTTCTGTGGCTGGAGGCAGGAGAGATAAGACAGAAGGAGAGGTCATAGAAATGCAAAAGACCTACCTCCTCTGACTTTGAAAAGAGTCACAAGCCAAAGAAGATAACTTCTAGAAATAGAATGGCCCTGGGACCTTTGCTTACTTACTTGTGGCAGCAACCTAAATGTCTGGAAGTGGATTTACTTTTCATTTTGAAACATGAGACCCTAAACAGAGAACCCAGATAAGCAATCTAGACTTCTAAACTACAGAGATATGAAGTAATAAAGGATTGTTACTGTAAACCTCCTAACAAGTAAATTGTTAGGACATCAACAGAAAATTAGTAAAGTGAAATTCGGGATACACAAAGAGAGAAAGAAAAAGGGTCTTTGGGTGTCAAATGTAACCTAATAATAGGGTTAACTTGAATAGTCATCCACATTTCTGGGATAAGATCTTATCTATTACCTCACTTCCCCACATGTCTAAACTCTCTCATTGCTGTCATGTCAGAATTGACTCAGCTGATCTGACATTGAGTTTTGAAGGCTGTAAATCATATAGAAGAGATGGCTTATGGGTTAACAGTGCAACTCCTTAATGCACTATACATATAGAGCTTTCTGTGTCTAAACTAGTGTTGCTATAACATGAATACAAGTGGGTAACTTTAAAGAACAGGATTTTTTTTTTCTCTAGTTCTGAAGACTGTGGTGTCTAAATCAGGGTGTTGGCCATGTGAACTTCCTTGTAGGCATTCCCATTTTTTTGAGATCTTCACATGACATCTGTCTTCTCCCATACATGTGCTTATGCCTATGTCAAATCTGCTTTTTAAGTAATTCACTAGTGATTAGATTTAGAACCCATCCCAATTAAGTATAATCTGATTAACAAAGCAATAAAACTCTCTTGTCTATTTCCAAAAAGGATCATATCCACAGTCATCATTCAAACTCATTGCTAGTACCACTTGCCAAATCCCTGGCTAAGGGGTTCCCTAGAAGACCAGGTCCAGTGCTCCCCAGAATCACATTGTTTGGTAATGCAGCCCTAAGGGGGTGGTAAACTCTATCTAAGACTATATACCAGCACAAGACGGATAGTCAACAAGTTGTTGTTGTTGCTGTTATGTCGAGTCGTTTGCAACTCAGAGTGACCCTATGTATAACAGCCCTAAACCCTGCTCTATCCTGTGCCAATCGCACTGCCTCTGACACACCCATCCCGATTACCCCAGTCACTGAATCAATCCATCTCATAGAGGGTCTTCCCCCTTGTGCTGTCCCTCCACCCTCCCAAGCATGATGTCCCTCTCCAAAGACCTGTCCCTCCTTGCAACATGCCCAAAGTATGTCAGACGAAGCCCCAGAATCCTTGCCTCCAAGGAGTTGCTTGGTTTAATCCTCTCCAGGATGAATCTGTTTGTTTTCTTGGCAGTCCATGGTACATTCAATACTCTTCTCCAGCACCACAGCTCAAAGGCATCAATTCTCCTTCTGTCCTCCCTAGTCATTGTCCAACTCTCTGATGCATAGCAAGTGATTGCAAAGACCATGGCCTGTATCAGGCACACCTTAGTCTCCAGAGAGACACCGTTGCTCTTGAGTACTTTAGAGAGGTCCCTAACAGCAGACTTTCTCATCGCAATACATTTTTTCATTTCCTGGCTGCTCGTGCCAAGAGTGTTGACCGTGGAGCCAAGCAAACTGAAGCTGTGAACAATCTCAATATCTTTGCCATCCATCCTGATGTAATTAGTCCAGTGGTGAGAATCTTTGTCTTCTTGACATTGAGCCTCAGTACATACTGAAGGGTGCAGTCCTTGACCCTCTGTAGCAAGTTCATGAGGTCCTCCTCAGTTTCAGCAAGTAGGGTTGTGTCATCCACATAACGCAGAACAAGTACCATAAGGTAAAGTTGAAAAGAACTATGAAGAGTTGATCAAGTCAGAACCAATTCATAACGGACCCTCCACTGAGTTTTCAAAGCTGTAAATTACACTGAAGAAGACTTTCCATCTTTCTTCCACAAGCTTCTGGTGCACTCAAATCACTAAAAATGTAGGTATAGTCTTTGATTTCATAGTGCAAGTCTCTAAAGAGGAAACCACCAGTGCTCCCTTCCACAGGCATAGTGATTAGAATTCCAATTGATATTTAGCAAGTAGAAGAGACAGCTTGATCTATAAACTTACCAGAATTCCATAGAGAGAGCAGAAGAATTGCCAATTCAGTTCTTCCAAACAGGAAGATGAAGCAGCAAGAGGTTTCTAATTTGGGGGCAGCAGTGTGTCTAGTTAGTCAAAGGACAGATTTATTGTTTGCAGTCCAAGGCCCTTTCAGAAATTTACCCCCCCACGCAGGTTTTGCATATCATATCAGATACCTACTAACCTTTCTGTAGACGGCAAATATGGTGCCAATGGAAGCCAGACAGTCAATGTTGGAAGAGCCATCCAGTGGGTCAAAGCAAACAACATATTTGCCCTGAATGAACAGAGGGGGGAAAAAAATCAATCCATTAGGTCATCTTCCCACTATTAGTTTCTCTGGTGTCTACTTGTGTTAGGTTAGATCAACAGGATATCCTTAATGTAAGATGTGATAAGGAGTGTTGCCACAGCTCACCCTCACCACAACAGATTAGTTGATGCCCAGAGAAAGTGACCTACATCTTTTCTGCTCCCAATAGCTCTCCTTCCTTTGACCTTCGGCTCCACCCCTCCCTGCTCCCTCATCCATTGAGAAAAAAGTGTTGCTGAGGGTGTTGTAGGAAACTGGTTCTAAACTGGTACTGTAAAGAGGAGAGGTATGAAGGTTTGAGAGTTGCTACTCTATGGGAAACCTCATTCAAACTCATTATTATGGAGTTGGAACTGATCATAGTTGACCTTCTGGTAGGTTTTCTGAGGTGGTAAATTAAGTGAATACATCTTTCTCCTGAACAGCTGCTTTTGAGTGCAAACCTCCAGAGATGTGTTTAACCTTTGCATTAGCAGTACAACTTTCTACAGACTAGGTCAGAGCAACCTGCTGCTGTTCCCCATTGTTGTTATTGTTGTATACTGTCAAGTCAGAACTAACCCATAGCTGACCCTCCTGCAGGTTTTCAGAGATAGCTAATCAAACAAGAGAAGAATGTACATCCTTCTCCTGTGGAGCAGCTGGTGGATCCAAACCCTGTGCCTTCAGGATTGCAGTGCATCTTCTTACCACTAGGCCATCAGAGCTGCTTTAGAGTAACCCCATTAAGAGTCAGTTGCTCCTTTTTGGCAGTTTTTCTTGAGCCTCTAAGGGATTTTTAAAAATTGTAAATATCATTTTTTAAGTGTTTTAGCCCAAACACTTTAGAAAGTCTCAGAATGACCCATAAATATGTCAGGAGAATAAAATAGTGTTCTGGATATGCTGCATCTAATCCTGTCCCGTGTGAAAATAAAACAATAGAGCAAGCAGGCATCGGCACTTGTGTGTTCCTTCCCCATTCTCTGCTGTCACAGGCAACCCTAGTCAACATTTCCAAGAAAAAAAATCACCAGAGAATGTGTATCGACCTATACCTGTACCTCTGTACAGGCCTCTGGTGGCTTAGTAGTATAGAGTTGTGCTACCAACCCAAATGCACGTTGTTCAAATTCACCAGCTGCTCTATGGGAGAAAAATGGCCAGTCTCATCCTATCTGATTTGTTGCATCTGAAAAAAGCACTTCAGGGTCTGTCAGTGAGCAGATTCTGACTCTGACAACCCTCAATCAGGTTTCCAAGGCTGTAATTTTTATGGAAGGAGACCCACAGAGAAAGAGTTAAACTGTCGACGTTTTGGTTAGTCCCAGAGTGTTATACACAATGCCACCATTTTACAGAAAGAACTCTCTCTCTCACTCTCCATTGCTACTGAGCTGGCTCTAACCCAGACATAGCCTCACAGTAGAATGCCAAGGCTGTAAATGCCGCAGAAGATTGCTCATCTTTCTCCCACAGAATCTCCAGTAGATTCAAATTGGCAAAGACTTGCCAACTTTGGCTTAGCAGCACAATTACCTATAAACTACATCACTAAACTCCTCACATAGAAAACTGTTGTGTACTGCTGAGTCAGAACCAACTCATATCTGATACTCCAGCAGGGTTTCAGAAGCTGTTAATTACAAGGGATTGCCCATCTTTCTCCCATGAGCAGCTGGTGGATTCAAATCATGTGCCTCCAAGATTGCAGCACAGCTTCTTGCGACTAGGCCCCAAGTGCTCTCTTCTTAGAGAACTAGAAAGTACAATTAAGGAAGTATGATCACCAGGAGCGTGACTGCCAGGCTTGACATGTTCCAGAAATCGCACGTATCTCAAGCTGATGGGGAAGAAAATACAGGAGATTGGGCTGGAGAGATTAACCAGAAAACCAACTCTCAGGCAGAATTGACAATAAAAGGTATAATTCAACTGAAATTACATAAGACAAGTGTAAAGTGTACTGCAGGTTATTTGCATACTAATTAAAAGTGTGTGTGTGTGTGTGCGTGTGTGTGTGTGTGTGTGTGTGTACAACACACACACAAACACAAAGAGCGACAATTGTTGTCTAGTTGATTCTGACTAGCAATCAAGCAGATCTGTGTTTTATGGAATTTCAGTGGATAACTTCAGCATCAGATCACCAAGCCTTTCTTCAGAGATTGTAGGCACTGTCAAGTCAAGTACAACTCACAATGACCCTAACAAAAGGATCTGAGCCCTGTTCTATCCTGGGCCATCCTCACACTTCCTAATACACAAGAGTCCATTGCAGCAGTCACTGTGTCAATCCACTCGGCTAAAAGTCTTCCTCTCCTTCTCCAATGCTCCACCATTCCCAGCACTATGTCCTTCAACTAATAGCCCCTCCTATCAACATGCCCACAGTATGTGAGGCAAAGCGTCATCATTCTTTTCTCCAAAGAGCACTCTGGCTGAACCTTCTTCAAGACATATTTATTTGTTCTTTTGGCCATCCATGGGATATTCAGTGCTCATATTCAACACTACAGCTCAAAAGCATCAATTCTCTTTCTGTCATGCTTATTCATTGTCCAGCTCTCAGATGCATAGCAAGTGATTGCAAAGACTATAGCTATAGCTTAAATCAGACGCATCTTAGTCCACAAACTAACATCATTACTTCTAAATAATTCAGACAAGTTCCTAAATGCAGATTTCCCCAGAGCAATATGTCTCCTTATTTCTTTTTTTAAAACTTTCATTAAAAATATAATTTTAATAAAATTACTAGAAATCACAATTATCAAGGGCTGAAATAAAAAATAAAAATAGGACCCATGACCCCCATCTTCAGATATTGCATTGCTCCCCCCCAACCCAGCTCGCGCCCCCCGACCCCACCAGCTCTGAACTTTGGGACTGGCCAAGGGCTGTGCGCAGACGCAGTGAACAGTGGGAGTGGACTTGAATCGGGACACACCTGTGCAGCTCTGACCCACGACCCCCATCTTCAGGTATTGCAT